TTATCAACATTAAAATATTTTTCCAGAAAGTTATGATTGGAAGCTATGTCTATTTCACAACTTATCACACCGAAAAAAAAGTTCACAGAGGAAAAGGAAAAAATAGAGCTCAGTATCTAAAATTTTGTTTCTAACAGGATTTCCAGTATGATAGGGCTACATTACAAACAAAACTGAACAACTCAGAAATTTAAAAAAAAAATCTCTTGTCACGTTTTCATTTGTTATATTTTAAGTGCTCTACACAAGAGAGGAAAATCAACACGAATCTATTGATTTAGATAGTCTTTGAAGGGAAGAAAGTTTTTCAGTTCATTCCATCTTGAGGGCAAGAACTTCAAGAGTTTGTCTCTTCCTCAGTTCATTGCCCTACTGAGACTTTCTCACAGCTTGAAGAACTAATATCTATACACCTGTATGTACACTTAGAACTTCCCAAAATGTTTTCATTTTGATTACCACATTTAACCTTCTGGGGAGGGGCCTGTTTTCCCATTTTATAAGTGAGAGAACCTAAAATCAAGGAAAATTTATTCATGTATTCACTTATAAACATTGTTGGCCATTTGCCACATGCTGGAACTAGACTGGCAGTAGGAATGCAAAGAGGAAAAACTAAATCCTCGCCCTCAAGAAGTTCACATATGGGTAAGAAGCATCTCATGGAAGTATCTATTGCTGTATGCTCTGGATGGGAAGTGACTGGCCCCAGGTGACACAATTAGAGGCCAGGATGACTGAACCCATTACTGGGGCTCTGGAAGCTCATACCAGGCTCTCAACACGTTTCCTTCCATTTGCTATTCCATGAAACCATCCCTAAAATAGTCTATTCACGTCATAATTACAACAGCTTACAATTGTTCTAATGAAAGGGCTTGATTTAAATAAAACCCAAGTGTAATGATCACTAGAAAATGAAGAGCCATGAGGAGAAAAAGGACACTGTAACAATCTCAGGTTCTAGTCACAAGAAACATCTCAGTGGACAAGCTGCTCTGTGCGCCAATCACAGTTTCAAAAGACTCTTCCACCCCTTCAGCACGCCATTAGCAATTTTTAAACTCTATACTTTAACACTGTGAGGAAAGGAATTAGCTGTGGTTCTAGCTGTGAGGATGACATTAACATTCAAATAACTGAAGAGCCTACTTAGCCTGTGTGAAAGTTTATATAAAGGGTGACGGGGAGCCCAGTGCTGAATCCTGTGAGGCAGTTCTGGTGTGTGTGGCCTCTGAAGACAGCCTGGGCTCCTCACACATTAGGAAGCGAGGTGGCAGCAAGGCAGGAGAATGCAGCACTACTGTGTGGGGAGGAAGAGCTGCACAGCAAGAAAAACCGACCTTAAGAAACAACTGAAAATTAAAGTGGATGAGCCATATCACAAAGAAGCGTTCCTGGCAAGTATCTAGGTCTGTAACAAGCTAGAGAAGAGAGTTCAATGCCTTCTTGCTTTGTTGTTTGACTTCAGGGTTCAGAGGCAAAAGAGAGACTGATCATAGGAGAAGACAAGTGTGAATTAATTAATTAATTCTACAATGAGAATTAATTCCTTACAAGTAAGCGCTGAACGCCCTGATAAGTCTATCTGATTTACTAAAGGTAGAACAGGAAAACTACTTATTCGGATGCTACTTCTTGGACAACAGTTGTGTTGTTCTCCTTCCAGCATGCAGCCCCAAATGATTTACCCATGAATATGAGCGTTAAAAAACCCAAAACTCAGATCTGAGATGGTATTCATCTCTGTCATCTAGAGTCCACTTAAAGCTTAGGTTTGAGAGTCTTAAGAAGAACGTTCCCTACTGTTTTTTTGTTTTTTTGTTTTTTTTAAACATAGTCTGTACATATGAGTCAACACTCGTGTTTATAGGATTGGGGTGAGGGGTGGCAAGTACAAGTACTAGCAGGTCCCCAGCCTGATGGAATCTGCTCTCAGAATTTAAGAGCAGTAGGGCAAACTGGCCCTTCCTCGGAGGGGAAAAGGACAAAAGAATTGAAAACACTAGCACTTTTGTTTTCTAGACTATAGAAATAGTTCATTTTGCTCTTAGTTTTAAAAAAATCATAACTGATTCCATAGTTTAAGCGAGAGCGTAGCATAAAATTAGAAACTGATGAGCAAGGCAGTGTGAAGGAATTTCAACAAGAGAGGTGGAATACAGTTTCTAGAGTCTCGATTGCTCGATTTCACAAGCATCCTTTCTGAAGACTGGCCCCTATTCCAGAGCTAATGATGAGTTTTCTACACAGGGAATTCATTACCCAAATGATAGACTTACAGAACAAGAATTTCAAAATAGCCTTTTTTTTTTTTTCTACTTTGTGTTCCATGCTATGGCATAAAGAGCCAAACTAGAATGCTGATTTACCATGTCATTAAAATGATTTTTCTTTGGAACTATTAAAAATGAGTGATTTAGTTCCAGTGCTACCTCCTCTAGAGTCTTGTGTCATGCCTGGCCTAAAAATTTATCTCTTTGCTGTGGATTCCAAAGCACTTACTCAATCCCCCTTCTGTGGCAATAATTATGCTTTATATAGGTTCTGTAACTTCTCTGAGGACATAAAATAATGCTTTACACTAACAGGCCTGAATAAACATTTGTCAAATAACCAAATGGATAAGATATGAGGAAGCAGCTAGTTCTGCAAACTACAGAAGCCCTCTCCACCCCAACTAAATAGTAAAAGGAAGTGCTATGGGTGGGATGTGTGTGCACATGCCTCCTCTCGGCTTCCTCTTAATACCAACACTCAGCTGCTACAATCAGAAGTGCACCTAAAAATAGAAACATAAAAGCACTACTTTCTTATATATATATATATATATACACACACACATATCCGTATATATGTATATACATATATATATGTAATAGTTTATTTTTACATCATTTTATAAAAGCAATACTTTCTAAAGGAAACTGTTTCAGGTAAACAAGGTAAAAAAAAAAAAAAACTGGCTCAGGGCACAATAATTCTACCTGCATTAACAACAATGCCTCAAGGGAGTTTCCCCCTGCAGCCTTCCGCTCCCTCTGCTAAGGTGCATGACTGGACAAGTCTCACATGAACAGCTGTTTCTCCAGGTTGAGTCAGTCACTCTGTTTCTCATATACTGCAGAGCCACAACATTTCAGATGACTTCTGCCACAGTATACTTAAGGCAGTTTCTAAAATGTTAGGGGTTCAGAACAGGACCAGCTAAGAAGGAAGACCCAGCAATCCCTGATTTCATTTTGCCAAGAGGACACTATAAGCAACAATCTATACAAGAATTTAGTGAATGTGACTTAATAGTAAAAGCATAATTCATTGTAGACACAGCTCAAATATCCAGAGCTACTGAGGGAAAGCCCCATATTACAATAGAGTTGAGGTTAGAAGCATTCAAATAGCCTGTAACTCATAATACAACAAATCTAACATCAAACACTTTCAACCAGCACCAGCATCAAATGATTTCATAAAATCATTTTAAGAATACTCTCACTTTTAACAAATTGTAACAGGTATTAGCCTCAATAAGAAGAATACTTGTAAAAAAAAAAAAAGGAATAAAGAAGACTAACATCGGCTTTTGGTATCTTTCCGTATTCTTTCTGATATTCCTGGGAAACCAGCCACCAATGGCAATCAAGGTATGTAGGGTCCACGGAACTGAGCCCACATCTCAGCTCCTGGCATGGGCATACCCAGGCATCGCCACCTCTGTGGCTGCAGTGACTGCGTCATGGCCTCAGCCTGTGGACTCCAAGTCAAGCCTGGACTATTTGTAGAAAAAAGCAGATCTTTCCACTCAAAGCAGTGAGATCAGAGAACAAAAGGCAAATGCTGCCCCTACAGGCCACCTGATTCAATAACTCGCCTAACTTGATGTGAACATAGAGAAAAGTACAGGGGAAAGAGAGAGCTCCTCTCTCCTCCCCAAGTTCTGATCACAGTGCCTGATCCCCTGTAACCAGCAAGGACTAAAGCAAACATATTTGCAGGCTGCCAGTTCAATTTTTATCACTTATGATGATTGACGTTGATTTTCAGTCACATTTCAAAGGGTATTGACAGATCATTTCTCAATTAAAAGTTAAACAATAACAAAGTATTCAATTGTTAATGCTAGGTACACCGACATGATTAAGTCAAAAGAATATTAGAGAAACTGATGTGGGAGCAGGGAAAGGGTCATCCAGTGTTACATCATACATGATAAGAAGATAGATTTCTAAAAACAGTAAAAAAAATATTGTGGCACTAGGCAGTAAATGGCTGATTTAATGCTTATTTATTGAGGTATTTGTATATTGAGTGCCTGTTCTGTCTCTGAGAATCTAGTCAACACAAACCAAGGTGAAAGCCATGTTGAAAATCTGATCAAGGAGCTTCACTTACACTCCACCCAGTACATTGATAGACTGTGTCTTCACTCCATAGCCAGTCTCCTTCAAATTAGCAACAATTCCTAATACATCAATACTGGAACCTTTGGATCCAAAGTTTTTTTCACTGTACATTATCATGTGAGCATTTGAAAAGTCCTACAGAGAAGAAAAAAATTCAAATATCAAGCATTAGTCATTTACTAACCAAAAAGACCGAGTATTAGCTATTAGTTTTCCTTTAACTTACACCTAATACAGGTCTTAGTGACTGAAGTTCTCCACTGTAACCTCCCCAGTCTTTCCATTCCTTGTATTCTCCTTCTTCAAGCAAATATTGATGACCTGTAAATCCAGGCTTCTCATAAGCAACCCAACTGCAACAGAAAGAATATGAAGAATTAGTGATTTTGAGTGGGGCTAAAACTGTCTCCAGTGTATATCTGTTTCATTCTCCACTACAGACAGTACAAAGCTAGACATGCATAGACTACTGGTATTCCCTAGAATATAAGCGACTAACAGGGAAGCCCCATGTAAGCAGCCTAAGAAATACATGAGGGCTCTGGAAAGGAGTGGATGTGGAGGGAGGGAGTGGTGTGTGCGTACTTAATAAGAACTGACTCATAGAACTACAGCAAATACAACTGTATAAATCATCTTCAAATAGTAATTTTAAAAACTTATATTTAGAGCTATTTACAAGGTCTTTTTAGTGTATACTTGAAAGGAAAGGTGAGGTCTATAAAGTATAAAATACAAAAACTAGAAAGCAAACTAACAGTTTTTGAGCATATTAACAAAAAAATTTTAGATTTGACCAATCTAGATGGGCTAATTTATCAGCCTTGCTCAGATGACTGGCCCAAACCAGACCCTAAAACTGCTGTCAAATCCAGGTCACAGGTGGAGGAAAACAACACAGCTACTGCAATTCACTGGAACAAATAATCTGTTGCCTTGGTGGTGGCTGGGTCAGGGTAGGTGGGTGGTAGGGAGGAGAAGTGAGGCATGTTTATTACTTTATTAAAGGGATAAGAAAGAAGTGCAGGTTTCCCTCATCTACTTACATGCCTCTTAGGACTTTCATAGACCCTACTGATGTAAATGGCAAACGTTCATCTCCAGTCGTTTTTTCTTCTGTTTCACCTCCTTCCATAAAACTACACATTTCTGTTTCTAGTTCCATACTTTTTCCTTCAAAGAAAGGCTTTTCATAAATAACTACCTATAACGCAAATGAGATAATATAAAAAGTAGAAAAAAATTATTCACAAATAATTTGTAAGTTCAATATCTCAACAGCTAAGCATTGAATAAGTCATTTAATATCATGAGGTGCTAGAATACGAGTTAAATGTTCTGATATTTTAAAATCAGCTAACAACAGCAACTTATAATTTTAAAAGTCAAATCTTTTCCTTTGATTTATACTCAGGTACAGCCTAAAGCCAACAATCACAAGGCCATTTATAAATAAATGATTTGTTCAATGTCTAGGACTGATACGTAGAACTTTACTGAGGCCAAATTCTAGGAGCCAAGAATTCTAAGTTGCTTTGCAAATGAAACAACCTGTGTGCCCTAGATGTGGGGAGTGGGAATAGCAGAAAGAAAGATACCATTTTGGGGTATGGAGGACTTCTTTTGAAAAGGTTTTCCCCTGGCTAACTGGTAAGCAGCAACGGCACTAGTGATCAGGAAACTTGAGCTGCCTCACTGTGCGATGACCAGTGCCGTTAGCGTCGTGCAGCCTGAAGGGTGTGGTTTTTGTTTTATGGAGGTTGACATGTGAAGTCACATGAGTGCTATCTTTCTGAAGATGGAGTGGGAATAAAATTTTAAATATGTATATTTTTACCTTTGGATCTGTAGGGAATTCAACTTTACGGCCACCCTGAAAAGGAAAAAAAATGAATGAGAAAAACATTTCCAGTTTAACTGCCCTTGAGAGTTCTAAAATTACCAGCAGCTGAAGATGTGAGGGTAACTGTCTAACAGTGCTGGTCAGTCTTTAAGTTGAATCTGCTTGTTGGCTATATTTTGGACCTAGTAAGTTCATAAGTTTTTGTGAAACTGAATAAATTTCTTTAAAGTGCCTATTTCTTGTTGGTCTTAAAAAGCAATCCTAAGATCTGACATCTCTGGCCCCAATTCCCAGAGTCAGCAACCTCCACCTTCTGCCCTTACCAACCCTCCCTGGGCTCACCTCCCAGCCGGAACATGGGCCCTGTTTGCCTGTCTCTACTTCTCCCTGATTCAACCATTTGCCACCTCACCCTGCAGGCATTTGATTTTGCAACCCATGACTTACAAAACTGCTGGAGTTCACACACATTAATAATATGATCTGGAAGACTCTTGAAATCATCTGAGAAGTGGTTATATAAAATGGGTAACATCCCAAAGGGTGGTTCCATGGGCTAGAAAAGTTGTTAAACTTTTATAATAAAACAGCTTTTAAAAATTAAAAAAAAAAACTTAAAAAAAAAAAAGGTTTCTGCAAAGTAGATACAATCACTAGCTATAGAGTACAGATGTTACATTAGAGCTACTGAAATAGCTATTGAATCCATGTGAGAAAATCCTTCCCAGCTCTCAGACCTGCCTATCCAAAAATGTTAAGAGCTGTTTAGGCAATTTTGTGTCCCTTTGTCACAGGAATATTAAATTATAGACTGATGAATCCTTGCTTAACAAGAGATTTAACTATCTGGAACAAAGATGAGCTGGACTTCAAGGTGACTTCTTATCCCAGAATTCTATAATAAAATTTTTCATTAATTAAATGTTTATATTGTGAAATGTTTGCTACAAAATCTGTCATGAAGTTTTGAAATTTCACCAGTTTAATTAATTTTAAGTTATTATGAATTACTTTGGGTAGTAACTTGCTTGTAAAGTAACCTTAGGAAGAAATCGTAATGTGTGTACTGAATGAGTATACTGAAATCGTAATGAGTATACTGAAATGAATTTCTTAAGCCATAGCATGACACACAGATATGAACAATCCTTCTTGGAAAAATTTGTATATTTGCATGTAAATTGAAAATCTAAAACTCAAACAGGGATTACCTAAGGTGGATAAAATGGTTGTCTTTTATTCAGCAGCATTTTAATAAAATAAGTTAATATAATTACTACTGTTTAAAGTTTACTAAATGAGAATATGCTGACTTGAATAGATGCCACAGAAATTAATATGTGGAATTTAAAAATATCATTATTACTTCAGTTTCCAAAATGTGGAATGTATTAAAGATTTCATTTATCTCTGTTGTGATAAAAAAAATTAAAAACTCATTAAAAATAAACAAATGAAAAGGCATTACATAGAAATATCCAAAAAGTGAATAGCTAAAATCAGCAGTGGGAGAGAAGCTATTTTTCACCAATTTGTTTAACAGATGAAAAAGAAAAAAGCACAGCCAAAGATGCTCAAGTGCACCAAATGAACTATAATTATAAAGGAATGTGACTGGTTTTATCAGCAAACCTGAGCTTATACAACCAAGTACTCTTTTCAAGAGTAATCCTTTTCAAATGTCAGAACCTTCAGAGTTTGGGAAATCCTCATTAAAAAATGCTTTTGAAACCTCAGGCAATGCCTTCTTCACTCATTCACAAAACTAACAAAACTGTGTTTTCTGAAAGTAGACTTCATTTTCTAATCAACCCCCAAAACATTCAGATTAAGGCCAGCAAACATGCAGATAATTCAGCCACGTGTGTTGGCAGGAGGGGTAAAATTAAGATAAAAATTTATCTTCCTGACTTTCTAATTTGTTCCAAACTGACTCAGAAGACGACCACAAAGTGGTTTGTAATGGGAGCCTTACTCTGCCACAGGAGGCAGCTGTGCCTGCTATCAGTGAGGGACAAGAGAATTATGACCCAAGTCTCTCAAGGCCTGGAGTGTAGCAGAAGCAGCAAAGAGCAAGGGAAAAATCAGGGAGGAAGGCTAGGGACACACAGGCACCTGTGTAGGCAAGCACTCAGCAGGCTCGCGCCTCTGAAGCTGCCACCCAGCGCCGAGGCTGTCGCCCGGCTGGGCCTTGGCGGGCCCTTTCCGGTTTCACCATGGCTTAGCATGTGTGTTTACTCACATCTCCATCCTAAAACAATCCTGCTTGGTTTTAAGACCCAAACTGATTCAACATGAAGGTCTCCTGTACATCTCCCTTTCTGTCACCCAGCAGATGGGTGGGTGACTGTCATTCTAGCTGCTTTCCAAAAAGGTCTATTTCTCACTTTCCCCATTTCTTGCACTAAGTCTGGGAGGCATCTTGATGGACACATCTGTGGTTCTTAAAGGCCCAGAATGGCTTAAAGGCAAAGCACATAGGCCTAGCCACACTTTCTCATCTTCCTATTTCCACCTAGCAACCTTGTTTTTCACAAGTTTGCTCCAATGCTTCAAAGGGACAGCCTGTGGATGTCAGATGACAAAAGGGACAGCCTATCAATGTCAGATGACAAAGAATCACTGAACTTCATTGACATTTCATTTTTACCATTTTCAGAGGACGCATGGATCCAATGTAGGCTTCTTCTGTATCCCAGAAGGACAAGTCAGGATATTCACCAGGTTCCAGTATAAAAGGGACACCCTGAAATCCAGGTCCTTCATAAATCAGCCATCTGAATAAGCACCAAGGAAGATAACAGAGACAATTCATCATGTATTTCATTAGGCCCCCAGATGAGAAAGGAAAAGAACAGGAGAGGACAGCAATCTGGCTGGTGGCTGACACAGTGTTGTGCGTGATGTTGGACAGGAGGAGGAATAAGCCTCAGTATGTGGCTCCAATTTGACCTTTTACTTGTCTCCTTGCTTGGCTTTGTCCACTTTATTTTACCAATGGCTTCGACATGTCTATAAAGCAGCAGTTACCGTGTACAATGTATGTCTCCAGAGAGGCTGCAGGTAGGAACTCTCAAGCTTTGTTTGAAAAGTTAAGGTCTCATTTGTAATAGTCCACCTAATCATTCATCAAAATTAATGTTAACAGCAAAAGTTAATAACAACTATTGATAACATATACCTACCGATTACAAGCAATGCCGCTCCGAATTGCATCCCATTCCCACAACAGTGTTATGAGGAAGAAACACTATCGTCCCTATTTACAGTGGAGGTTAAGTAAATTGCCCGGGGCCACACAGCTGTAATTACCAAGGGCAGGACTGGCCCATGCCACCTGGGGTCAGCTCCTAAGCATTTTTATGATGGCAATTTTTCTCATTCCAGTGGTCACACTGAACCCACTCTTTTCACAAGGTCATCACTGTCCTGGAGGCTCTGAAGGTCTGCAAGACAGCATGTTCCCTGGCGCCAAGGCTTTCCGAGCTCCTGTAGTGATTTTTATGGCTTCAATACCTCCCCCCATTCTATCAAATTTGTAAACTGTCACTTCTGCTGTGGCTAGGAAACCACCAACCCCACCCTTCTTTTAGAAGCCAGGAAACCAGAAAATCATGCCTGTTCTAACCATCTCTAAAGGCCTCGGGCTTGTCACTGTCTTCACTTCCGGGAGTGCTCTGGGAAGCGAGAAGTGGTGTAAGCTCTTCTGTCGGGGAGTTGGTAGAAGACCCTTTTCAAAAACCAACCTAGGACCCCTTGGGGGCCACGTCCCTGGTGGTCGTCAGTCTGACCATCCTGGCTGAGGAGCTCCTCTGTCCGTCTGTTCCCCCACAACACTGTCAGAAGATGTCTGTGAATGGAACCTGCTACCAGCAAAATGGGTCTGAGTCTCCCTCTTTGCTTTTCACTTGTTCCTAATGTTGGCCCAAGGGTACATATTTGGTGATTTTTTTGGTTAAAGATTTCCCTGGATAAATCAGTAACTTCTTTAGCCTTGCTAATTATACAGGGATTTACAATCAGGATCCCATTGAAGACCTGTCAACACACACAGGTACATTGGGAGGCTGTGTGTGGTATGTGGGCAGGAGATCAAACTAATCTACAGTGTGAGGAGTCAGGGTAATAATTACTGGAGGGGAGAACAGCCGTGGGGCCCGAATGGGGGACTTCTGAGACACTGGTTCTGTTCTGCTTCTTGATTTGGGTGATGGTTATAGTTAGTGAAAATTCACTCAGCTTACATATTGTGATTTGTTGTGTACCTTTTTGTACAGATCTCATAAAGATGTCATAATTGAAAAAGAGACATATCTTTTAAATACCACTATAATGCCACTAAACCACACCAAACAGGCTCGAGTAGAGTCCTTCATCCTTACATTGAAAGCATGACAACTGATGTATTACATGTTTCTTTCCTTTTTTGGCATTCCAAGCTCTCAGCCACACCACACAGTTTCCTGTCCAGCTGTCGTAAGAACTATTCGCCATGCATGGTACAGGCTGCCAAGCCAAGGCCTCCAGGAGGGACTCCTCTCACGGGGGTGGGCTAACTCTTCTGCAAACACAACAACAGCTTGTCCAAGAATACTCTCATTAAGGCTTTTCTTCTGCACTTTGAGTTTTAAGGGGATCTGGTCACCCAATGCTAAACATTTCACTCTCCTCGAAGCATGCAGTTTACAGAAGGAAGGAAGGTAATTTTGGGTAAGGGGAACTTTGGTGGAAAACTGAACACAAACTGCTACATTTGAAAAGAATGCTGTCCTGAGACTACTTCCTTAGCGAGCGCTAAGGACTTGCTGGTAACTCACCCAGACATTTATAAATGTTGGGTGGACTTTGGAATTTGAAAGCTCACGTTCAGAGCAGGGCTCATTTTTCCTAACTTCTATCCCAACAAGGTACATGATTTATGAGGCCATCGGGAGAGGGGGAATCTATCTTCAGGCAGTGTTATTTCAATTTCTAAAGGCACTCTTGTGTTTTTCCATGTACTTAGGTAATGAGCTCTGGCCTATATTCTGAATAAACACTACAAATCTAAAGAATGAGCCTTTTTTTTTTTTTTTAGATATACATAGCAGGTAAACAGAACAAATGCACAAACACAAATGTTGCTGAGACAATAAAAATGGCCATTTATATGTTTATCAAAAACACTTGTGTAATTACTCTTTTAGAAATACCTTTTGAGTCACAGGTGAAAAGTTAGTTTTATCTCGATCACTTGTTTGTAAACCCAAAATAGTGTTTTCGGGGGGGGGGGGAGCCTAAGTCTTACTCTCCAGGCATGCTGCACATGGAGGTGATTATTTACAGAAACCCACTGAATAATCAAAAGATCAGTTATGCCTATGCCAGCTTTAAGGCTACTCAAAAGCCTAAAGGGGAAAATGTGCCCTGACCCTGGGGAGGTGCGGGAGAGGCACCCGTTTAGCCAGGGAATCAGACCTAGTAACGTTAAGGGGAAGTTAGTGAGTGCAGGCAGCCTTCATGGCACAGGGTGAACATGAGCACTGTCTGCGTGAAATAGCCCAGACGGTGTCACCTGCAGCCCATCACACCTGCAGCCCTGGCTCATGTGCAGAAAATGGAGGCATAGCTAAGCGACATCATGAGCCCACGTCAAGACAAACCAGAAAGGGACACATTCTCAGGCCTTAATTGTTCAGAAAGCCAGTGGGGTGAGAAACAAAGAGGGGGGACTTTAGAGAGAGAGATTTAAAGAGCCAGAACAAGCAAACCTATTTATAGGAACTTTAACTGGATCCTGATTAGGAAAAAAAAAAGTCCATAAAAGACACTCCTGAGACAACTGGGAAAACCTGGTTATGGACCACACAGTAGCTATCACCATGGACTTAAAGACAGACAGGCTGAAGTATATAGAATGAAACTCATGATATTGCAACTTCTTAAGAGTTAAAAAGCAAGCAAAATGATAAAATATTAATTGCTGAGTCTGAGTGAAGGGTGCCCCACTGAACTATACCTTTTACTTTTGTGTCTGAAAACTCCCATAACAAAATGTTGGATTTTGATATATGCCACAGGAAATGTAACCCATAAATATTACACAGTAATGAAAAAATAAAATACAAATAGAAATGTCAATATGAATACTATTGGAAACAACAATGAAAAAAGGAGCAAGAGAAGTTCGTAACATTTTTATAAAGTTTTAAAAGCAAACATAATTGAAATCCTGTAAGGCAAGGCACTATAGGGTGAAAGTGAAAATAAAGGGGAAACATGGGGTGGGCCAGGTGCTGGGTGCTGTGGCTGTGCTGGTAATGGTGAGGCCTGAGGCTGGGTGGTGGACAGACAGGGCTATTTTACAACAAACCTCATAATTCACAAATACACTATGTTCTTCCTTGTGTAACAAAATTTCATAACAAAATTCATCAAAAACTATTTAGCTATTTAAAATAAAAGCCCCTTGACTTCAGAACACCTGCATTCTAATATCTGTTCTGCTAATGACTAATCCTAACTTTGATGGTGCTGGAATAGATGTTCTTTATGTTCCCCTTAAAGTTCTAAAATTACTTTTTTTTTAATTAGAAATACACACACAAAAAGAAGGAGGTAGATCCTTATTAGCCAACTCCTGAAGTTGAAGGTTTAAAAGTAAATGATACTCAACAGAATCTAAAAGAGAATCTTAGGTAGAAATTATTCATTTTCTCAAATAAGAATCTGACAAATAATTCCCCATATTTTGGTATGTATAGAGAAGTTAATCCAGTGCATAAGCCCTGGAATAAACCTAATAGAATCCAAAAACTTACAAAGACTTCTCTTATACCAGCTTAGGACACTAGTCAACCAACAGAAACAAGATGAGCTCTGGTACATATCAGTTGAGTTCTCCCAAAGCATCAAGACTGTCCTTGAAGATCAGTTAAAAGTACTAGGTCCTGCTCCAAAACTGACCAAACAAGTTCAGAGAGCCCAAACTTGGAATTGGCATCCAAAACAGCTTTCTATTAGCCTAACAATAACAGAAATGAACAGCCAGGAAAAAAGATGTCATCGCTGTGCAAGCCCATCATAAATTGCAAGGTGTGACAACTTTGTAACTACCACCTATGAGACAAAGTCAGAATTACTATAAGGCCTAAAAAACATTATTTAAGTGTAGCTCATTATGCTTCAACATAGCCCAAGTCTGAGTCATAAAACCTTCCACACTTTGAGATTAAAGTATTATGGCAGGTGACTATTTCATTCTTTTCTAAAGAAAGTGGTATTTCTCAACATTAGTACTTTAGGAAAGCAAGATGTAGAAACCTCTCTGATGGGAAAACCATAGAGGCAGCAGAGAAGACACTTTCTTTTCCTTTCCAAATGCTCAGTATAAAAGTACCCATAGCTTAGACGGTTTCTTTTCTCTTTACATTCCCTCCCTTGAGTTGTCATCCAGTGTGTGCTTTAACCACCTTCCCCATGCTGATAACTCTGAAAATTCCACCTCTGGCCTCTCCCTGTGAACTCCAGTGTCACATATCCAGATATCTTCCTGACTGCTTACTTGAACATGCAGTGAACAACTCCAACTTAACCTCTTTGCAACAGCTCCAGAATTTCACACTCCCTCCTAAATTGCTCCTCCAAGTTTTCTCCATCCCAATAAACCCTGGGGTCCCCAACCTTGCAGTTCTCAGTCCCCCTAGTCAATACACATTCTGTCAGCAAAGGTCAGTTCTTCCTTCAAAATGTATCCCACATCTGACCATGCCCACCACCAAACCCTCACACCTACATGATTACAAAGGCTTCCTGTTTTATTTGCCCCCACTCTTTACAGTCTATTTCTATAAGGCAGCTACAGTGTTTCTAAAACACACATTGGATCAAAATACTCTGACACCCTCCTGTGCCACTTAGAGTCATCTAAAATTCCTCCAAGGCCTATAAGCCTGACAGGACATGAGGCCTGTCTCCCAAGCTCACTCTCCCCCAGTCATCTTGACCTAGCTGTTGCCCAAGCATGTCCAGCTGGAACAAACTGTGCTTCCTGCCTGGGGCACTCCTCTGGCCCTGCTCCTGCAGACAGACCTGACATGGGCTCCCTACCTCCTTCCTCAGTCGGCTTACATGTCACTAGAGACTCCACCTGACCACCTTAGCTAAGAGTAACATCACTGTCCCTCTTTATAATCCATGTATCATTAAAAACTTGCACATTCTTTGAATATATGAATATATATTAAAAAATATATACATAGCACCCCTGAACTAGCATATTGTAAAATCAGAAAACAGTACAAAAATAAAATATTTAAAGGAGACTTTTAGTTAAATAAAAAAAAAACTTAAAATTTTTTTTTATCTGTCTCTCAGTGGAGGTCTTTCACATACCCTGGCTTTGTATTCCACTTTGAGACCAGATCTTCATTACAACAATCTGTACTTTCTATTCTGATTTCTCCATTTGAGCTCTCCTGTTTCCTTCAAAATATTCTTGCCCTTTCCTGTGATTTATGAAATCAACATCCTATGGGCTTTGGACAGCATTGTGTGAAAACGTTAACGGAAGTTCCATGTGTGCTGGCCTCCGTCCCAACTGAAACAGCAGGGGCACGTGTTTACCAGCCTTAAATTACCATGAACGTACAAACTGCTATTCAGCTTTGAAAAAAATCAGGTTCCTCTATGATAAGGAAATCCCTACATTAAAAATGCAGTTTCTATCCCCTGCACTTCCTCCAATAAATTGTTATTCAGCTGAATCTTAGCAACAAAGGTACAAAAGAATCAGAATTTTATGTGCCTTATTAAAAGTGCTTTTTTAATCAATTATTTAACAATAAGTCAGACAGAAGAACTTAAACCCTCCTCCTAGTACCACACTCCTCCACAAAAACTTGATTAAAATTGTATCTGAAACCAAATACTCACGTGCCCTGGTGTACTTTAATGGAACGAGTTTTCTGCATCACACCAAAACCCTGCATTTCTTCAGTGTCGTCAAAGTAGGAACTCAGAAGTCCCAACCCTTCTGGTTCAGTAAATAAATCAATTTGACTAACTCTGTAATCCTAAAAAAAGAGAAATATACAAATATAACTGCCATGTATTTCACTGTATATATTCCCTTTTCAAATGATCAAAATAAGCCTTCAATCTGGCCTACTGAGCACCTGTCATTTTGCTTCTTTCCTGTGTCACCCATCACTTAATAATGTGCCTCTCTGGGGGGCAGAAACACTGCTTTAGTCAGTGTTAGAATGTTTCCCTGAAGGTTTCAGTTACATTTAAGCCAAGATTGCCAGAAATGTATCTTGTTAGAATTTCTGACAAATTTCTCTCATCCTCACTGAAAAAAAATGACTTGGCATTCCTTGGTGATAGAGGAACTTAGGTTCGCTTAGACGTGACCCTCTAAGTGAAGACTCTAACCTACGCAGTGGTTGTGTCTGGAGTCTTCCCCACCTGCTGCTCTGTGCCCATAGCCCTACAATAATCATCTCCTTGATAGAGATAATTAAACTGCTATGACTAGATCCAGGCAAAGGCACACATACATGATCATTTACAAATTTCTGCTCTTTGGTCCCTGCCTATGCCCCAAATATCGATGCCTCAGCCTGTCTCCCAGCTGAGAGCCAAGTGCTAACTGAACCATTCTCATGTGGCTGAGTTAAGTTAATTGAGGGCCTTACGAAATGGTAACACTTGGGTTAGTTCACGGAATCTTTTCAAAATTATCAAAAGAACAAATCTAATGATCCTTAAAGGTGACCCTTTTGAATATATACTGTAACTTATGTTTATACTTCAAGAAACCATGAAGGCAGTCTGTAAAAAATATAGTTTGTGCAATATCAGGACTCTAACATGACAACATTCAAAAAAAAAAGTACCCTAATGGACAAAAAAATCATAAATTATCAAACTCAAAATTGTTATTCTTTTATTGAAATAACCTTGAGAAACTAGAAACAGCTATGCTCCATTGGCAAAGAGAAGGCAAAATAAACCATGGTACATCCTCTGCTACTGATGAACTATGACGCTCACTTAAATTCTAAACCACGTAGTAACATGAAAGCACTAAATGCATTATGTCTGCTCTTATCAGACTAAACAGGAGGTCTCTACACAAATGCACATCATTTCCTTCACCCTACCTTCCTGGATATTCCTAAATCCTCACCCCACCAGATCCTGACACTTCCCTTGGTTGCAAATCATTGAGAGATGCAATCAATGGCAGTGTGATTTGCAGTGGGAAAAAATGGTGTGAAGAGGGAAAAAAAAAAAAGATTGAGGACATTAGTAGTAAATGAACAAAAAGAAAACAACATTGTACCTGAAAGTATGATGGCAGTTACAATAAAGCCAAGAAAGAACAGAGAACCCACAAAGAAGAGGGAGAGGACCCTCCAGTGATGACAGGATACAAGTTTTAAACATTGTTTTATTACCAACCTTATTTAGCCAATAAATGAAAATTGTAGGTATATTATTTCACTATGATACTTTTAAAATGAGTCTTCTCATAGCTCACATAAGGTTGACTATATTATGTACTTAAAACTATTACAAGGTAAATTATGTTGAATGTTACTAATCACCTAAGTTACTCAGAAATGTTAACCTGGGAAACAGGTAACACTTTCCTCTCAAAAAGATTGTTACTCATTTTCGTTTTAGAACACTCTTTTCTCCCTTTTGTACCACTACACCTGTATTACACAAGGAGGCTTTCATTTTCCATTTGGAAGATGTCATTAATTACCTTTTCAAAAGGTAGAGAATAATGAAATCCCAAGAGCCATAGGAAAAGATTCAGATAATTTCTTCCTCAAGGTGTGGGGGGTGAGAGGAGTCACCAGAGACAGAGTGGGAAGCAGAACAGGTAGATAAATTGAAATACACTGCTAAGGGAGCAGCAGGGAGACAAAAGAGGTCTGCCACACCATGCAGGTCACCTCCCTAGACAGGATCGAACTCATGCTGCAGTGGCTTCCATAGCTTCACAGTGCTGTGCTTTAACCACTTGGGCCACCAGGGAGGGCCCCCAATCATTTATTTATTTAAAAAAAAAATGGAGCTTTCTTTCTAGGTAAAAATCATCTCTGGCATTCAGTAAATATTTGTTGAATAGATAAAATTAGTTTTCCCACAACCTACCTGGACCACATGTCTGATTGAACCAATCACCACAGGCTTGGCAGGCTCTGTTTCATCACTTTTTTCCAAAATATCTTCTATGCCCCAGAGGCCAGAGAGCTCCAATTCTCCTTCTTCCAAGGGGATGTAGTGTCCTTCAAAGTTTGGTTTCTCATACAAAATCCAACTAGCAGTAAAACACAGCACAACTATCAGCCAGTGTTGGAGAAAGGTTTTGATGACTCAAATTTTGGTAACTACTCTAGATGTAGCATATTGATCAATTCTCTAGCAATTACGATAGTACAAACTCTCCCTAAAACTAAAACTATGCCCAATAAAATTAAGCCTCTGATAATTCCAGAACAGCATCAGAATCTTAAGAGAAATTTTGGTTATCAATATGAATGCTATCTAGAGCTACTAACATTCTCCAGAATTGCCAACTAATGAGACTTGTGAATTGTGCTCCATCAAAGAGGCTTTTACTGTCATGTTTTTCTCTCCTTCTATGTATGGAAAACTTCTAAGGAATTTGTGTTTTAGAGGGCTTTCCAATGGATATTGACACAGGAACTCTGCATGTTAATGGAAAGCATTTTTTAAAGTCTTCCCAACAACATTCAAACATTAAAGAAAAACCTCAGGTCAACATATATCAGCTCTGCTTTTAAGTGCTCATGCTGTCAAGAAAGGCGAGAAGACACCAAAGTTGCAAAAGGAAAAAAGCAGCACTATTCTATTAAAAACAAATTTTCAGACAAAATTTGGCTCTGGTACAATTTTGAGTGTTCAAATTTAAGAATAAAACTAATTGTATTTGCTAATAAATATCCTGAATATATTAAAAAATGTATTAAAATATCTAAAAACCTAGTAGGAATAATACTTATGTTTAGTCAAATGGAGACCAATTTTTTAATTTGATCTTTACGAATTTTTTTAAACCATAAATGTCTAGAGCCCTTTATTTCAAACACATTTATAAATAGGCACCAAATGTAGTATGCCAGATAAGTGATTTTTTTAAGTGCTTTTTTTTCCTTCATTAAACTTCCCGTGTATTTTCCTAGAAGCAATGAAGCTAGTGAGATCATTTCACCAGTTTCTCTACATAATCCTAACTGCCTGTTACTGAAGAGTTAGAAGGCAAATTAGATTTTAGGTTACTCCTTCATTAAATTGTCATAAAAAGGTTAGCAAAAATGTCTTCCCATACAGAATTTCTAAAATTCTAACAACAGGATAATGCAATCCTCATCAACCTCACTGAAAAGTCACAAACCAAAAACAACATACACTTTCGTGTTCACTGGCCTCAGCCAACATACAGAGGTGCGCGGGAAGAAGGAATGTGTGGTGCTGCCCTTGTTATTTTTCTAGTATAAACCTGTATCACCGCTATAATCAGAAACGATTAAAAACCATAGATAGGAATTCTTTTTTTTTTTTTTTTTTTTTAAGATTTGTGCATACAGAACTGGGGTACAGGCCAGAGGTTCAGGGGCAGCGAGAGGCTTCACCAGAGACAGAGCGGGGAGCAGAACAGGCAGATTGACAAAGTACACTGCTGAGGGGAGCAGCGGGCAGCTCAGGAGGGGTCTGCCACGCCATGTGGTCTCCTCCGGGGCAGGTGGGGATCGAACTCATGCAGAAGTGGCTTTAGCTTCTCAATGCTGTACTTTAACCCGCTGCGCCACCAGGGAGGGCCGATAGGAATTTTTTTAATACTCACTATAACTAGCATTTTCTGTCCTTTATACTGCTAAAGGCATAATTTAAAATAAGTACTGAGGACAGAAAGGTAATTAAACATGTAAAACAAAGCCCTATTTAGTCCGGAACTCAAAGTGCCGTTCTTACCAGCCTCGTACAACTTTTATGAGTACCACAGGAGAAAGACTCCAAGAGCTGCAATCCTCAATGTCCCCGAAAACTTCAATACACTCCTCAGAGAGATCTGGCTTGCCATATACCACCACCTACGGGAAAATGAGGAAGGTAAAACGCATTGTACTTTATCAGATGAAAATGAAGTCAAGATTCGAGATCAAAAAAATCTTACCTTTCCAGGTCGGGGGTTGACTTTATGTAGGACACTTCCTCTAAGTGTCTGTGAAGCAGATAAACAAAAATACATCAAATCAAACTTGCACAACAATCTTCTCTTCCCCTCCCATAATCCTTTAAATAAGATCATATTTGCCTCAGAATTTATCAATTTTGAAACATGTCACCCTAATCTAAGCCAAAGTTGTATTAAAACGCTGAGTCTATATTGTTAAGAACTTTTAAATCCCTCTGAATTTGTCATTCCAATTCTCCTCATTTAAATAGCTCCTCCTTAAATATTCCTACCAGTGTAGAAAATTCAGGGCCCAAGAGTCCTGAATTTTTACGTTAGTTCAGAGAATAAAGATTCAGCTGAGATTATCTCAAATCAAGAGAAATTATAATGTAATCATCTACCTAGAAGTAGCTGAATGAAATTTTATGTTCATACACCTGATCTGAATTATAAATATATGTTCATAGTGACATATCACCATATAATAAGTACAAATCTAAATAAAGTATTATGCCTTATATCACAGCATACATTATACATGATATATTTAGTCCTCCCTTTTTGATGGACAGAATACATTTTACATGGCTCCAAAACCAATTGTTTTTAAACCTGTCTGACAAAACCAGTAAAACCAGAAATGCATAAGATAATAAAAATAGTAATTATATATGTAAAAATATTATAAAACATGGGCTACTTTCAATGCCAGGATGCCTATTCTAAGGACTGCCTTTGATCTGCTCATTCTTGTATTACACCCACATACATGGGATGTGCCCAAAAGCATCGAAAGACCTCAGAAGAAAATTATTAGAAATCAAAATGGTATATGTCTATTATTTACATATGTATTAGACATAGGTAAGCTGAAGAAATATTGACATGTAAAACAAAATTCATGTAAGCCATTAAAGTTAGTAATATATTCTACAAAATCTAGTACCTAGACAAAAGGGGAAAAATTAATAATAAAAAATACCTAGAAAAAAGTATAATGTCCTTACTTCTCTAAATTATTCCATTTGGCTTAATTTTCAAGGGACCCCATAGAGAAACAATATACTCTATTGTCAAACTCATCAGACTGTTGTCAAATAAGGAAAGCAATCTAATAATGATTAAAAATGGGAATAAAGATGTCATGGATAGGAAATGGAACAAGAGAAATTTTGTGCTTGAGAAAAAAAAAAACACATAAAAACCTTATGACTTTTGAGTGCTACAAGCAGGTTGAGAACTACTGCTGTAAACAAAACCTAAATGTGTGGTCCTGGATCCCTGGAGGAGCCTCAAGATCCTTTAGGAGTCCATGAGGTCAAAACAATTTTCATAACAACAAGTATTTACTTTTTCTGCTCTTTTTCTCTCATAAGTGGTCAGTGGGAAATTCCACTGTCGTGTGATGCTACTGCACTCATGGCTAATAGTGAAACATGCCTGTGCGGGTTAACATGTTTTAAATTTCTCTCAGTGTTAATTCCAAATACAATAAATTTCAACAGACATAACAAAAGTTCTTATGAACTTTTGGGATCCTCAGTAATTTTTAAATATGGAAGGGTTTGGAACTCAAAATGTTTTGACAACTTTTTAAAAGAGGGATGTTGAGTCTTTACCATAAACCCAACTGTATATTTTGAAAGAGCTTTCCAAGTTATGTTGAGTGACAGATTTGTAAGAAAAGTCAACAGGACAGAGATGTACTGCAGATGAGGAAGCGCACTGGGACTTCCTGCCCCATAAGCTGTGTGGGTTGATGGTCCACACTGGCCACATAACCTGTCTCATATGGCGGGAAAAAGGGCCAGAGGCCCATTCCTGTTTCTGGACTAGCAGAGGTGACCTCTAAACCTTAAACTCCGCCTTCTTTCTTTGCCCTTCAACTTGGGTATCAAACTTGATAACAAAACTGGGTAAATGCACCTCAAAAACTCAGTAAAGGACACAGCTTCTGGCAGATAAAAAGATGGAAAAATCAGGTATTGCTCAAAATCCCATTTTTCTGCCTTCTCTGCAGTAGCAAAGACTCATTGTTCACCAAAATTCCTAACTCCCCAATAATTTTGCAAAAAAAAAAAAACAAAAAAAAAACTTCCTTAATGAGAACTAATTCCAAATGAAGAGAAAAAGTACTGTTTTAACTGCATGGGATAGACATTTGTTACAGATGGGGAGAGTATCTCACAGCACAAGGGAAGAAAGTAGGAATAGATTCCTGGACAGGGTTTTCACAAATCTCCAAAATTCTAAGTATAGTGTTGAACATTTTTACACAGAACCAGGTAAAAAAATCTTGTCTGTCTGAACTTTTAAGATACCTTAGCTACACCTTTTATAGCGCAACACATAAATTCACAAATACCTTAAAAACTATTTCTATTTCTAGCATACTTTGCCTGCTAGGCTATGACCGTTTTGAGCACTGGATCTTAGTACCTTTTCCTGGCTGTCCTGGTCGTTCACAACACTGTTGCCAGGGGCTTCAGCGCGGCTGGAGCCGGCCGGCAGGGGTGTTCTGTTGCCCCGACTTTGAGCCGGGATGAGCAACTTTTTCTGAGTCCAGCAACATGTCCTGTGCACCAGATATCTGCACCTCTACAAACTTTTTACATAGGTTTGTAAAAATGTGAGGAACAGAAAGTAGTGCACAAGAGTGTAACTGTTTCTACAAGAATAACACTGTTTGCCACCCTTTGTCCTCTTAATTTCTAAATGCCCTCCACAGAGATAGTACAGAGCTACTTACTGTTGTGTCTGATAAGGACATTCCAGAGAAAGATATGTTCGGGTCAAAGCGGCTGGATTTGAAAAGACCCACGTAGTCTGCGTCACTGTTTCCATAGTTCGGCAAGTTGGGCTTCAGGACACCTTCAATTGGATTAACTTTATCCATACCATCGTTCTTCGGTTTTAAAATTTCAGAAAATTTGTTTTCTGACAAGAGTAGGCTGCTTCGTGAGTCCAGCTCTTTTTTGTTTTCCATGTAGCTTGGACTTTTCAGACCCGAATGAGAAGTACTTGAGGAGTCAAAATTGAAGACCTTTAAGGAGTTGTTGGGTAGAAGATGTGGCTGTTCTTTGTCTGAACCGCAGGGTGGGGCACCGTCAGCCACGGACTGTGACGTGGAAGATCGAGAAAGAGAAGTGTTCTGAGAAGTGCTGAAAGATGTGGTCATCGTGTTGACAGAAGTCACAGAGGGAGAAAAGATTTTGTCTTGTGGTAGAGAAGACAGGATACTTGAGAACAGCGCGCTTTTTTCTAGTCTTGATCTCTTAACTCCACCAGTCAAGACATCCCTGTTCTCTTTGCCATTTATTTCTGGAGTCCCTGAAAACTCATCCTTCCCATGAGTGTGAGTCTGCAAGGACTTGAAGAGGACACTCTGCTCGGCCGATGTTCGTTTAGGCCTCTGTTTGGATTTTGCGTCAAGATTCTGCATTAGCTGCAGAGCGGGTGACACTTCCGGCTGGCTTTCTTTCTTACTCCCCAAACCGAAGGTAAATACATTGGGATCAAACACCTTTTCTAAATTGTCCTCATGGATAGGAGGCATGGCAAAGTGGGGAGCAGGAGAGTTTGGCAGTCTGGACTTCTTTTTCTTCTGGGGCACACAGGCAGCGGAGTCCATCTTCTTGATGATTTCAGTGAATTTTTCCATATCAGAAGAAGAATCAAGTACATCACTGCCAGCAGAAATGTTCAAATGATTGTCAGGGCTGTCCTGGCCATTCACAATACTGTTGCCAGGGGCTTGAGCGGGGCTGGAGCCGGTAGGCAGGGGTGTTCTGTTGCCCTGACTTTGAGCGGGGATGGGCAACATTTTCTCTGAGTCCAGTGGCATGACCTGTGCACCAGATGTTGCTAGAGGTTCTTCTCTGCACTGCAAGTGTTTGGGGGATGTGCTTGGATTACCCAGCACTTCCTCTTTCTGGGGAGCACAACTTGCAACTGAAACCACTTCAAGTTCATTACTGCTACAACTTGGCAACTGCACTTCTCTGACTTCAGAGCTATCTGAGATGATGTGGGAGCCGACATCCTGGGTGCTCTCCACTGGGAGCACGAAGGACCTGACCTGGACGAGGACCTTGGAGGGACCCTCATTTCCCTCAGATTCTGGACTGTGCTCTGTGGGCAGAGGAAGGCTTGCTTCTCCTCCCTCTCCTTCTCTGCCTGTAAGTGTGATGGGGGCCATTTTCTCATCTTGCTGAGACACAGGCAAAACATATCCGTTATGGTTTTCTGACACTTTTAGATCAGAGCACGGAAAATTGCTTTTGGGAGCTTGAGCACAAGTGCCACTGGGAACATCCAGAGAACTGGGTGCAGGCGGTGAAAGAGAAGGCCCATCAGATGAGTCAGCTGTGGACGGTGAGTCAAAAGTTTTATCCTGTGACTTTGCTGTGGCTGCCAAAGCTGAATTATTGGTATCAGGAATGGCAGCATCCTGTGCTGTAGCAACCTCTCCTAAGAACTTGTGGTCTTTGACAGGAATCTGAGCAGTAATCACTGGCTCTAAGAGGGAGCCAGCAGCTGTCTGAACAGCCGCTTTATCATCTGGGTGCAGCTGAGAACTGAGAACTTCACCCTTGGGAGGTTCACCTTCTGTGCCCTGCACACCCGGGCTCCCGGCCCCTTGTGGCATCTCCTCTTCAGGGAGAGTAACTTTGGCTTCTGTGGCGGTATCTTTCCCCAGCACACCATTCTGGTGGCTATTTGGCATTACTTTCTTTTCAGGTTGCTCCATTTCCCTGGCCTTTTTGGCTAAATTCAGTTTTGCTCTCCCAACAAAAGTCTTACTAGAGACAGGCGTGTTCCTGGCCCCGCGGATCTCAGTGTGCCTGGGGCTACCATTTACCCGCTTGTTTTCAAATAAGGAGATTTTAGTGGCAGTGTTTCCTTTATGGACTGACTGGTTAAATGCATTATGTTCATTTCCCAAGCTGTCAGGATTCTTAGGGGTTTTCAGATTTAGTTCCACATGTTTGGGTTTTGCAGGACTGCCAGAATAAAGCAAGAAGATAAAGTCATTGATTCAGTTTTAAAAAGCAAACCCACCAAGCCCTCCCAGGTGGCGCAGCGGGTTAAAGCACAGCACTGAGAAGCTAAAGCCACTTCCATATGAGTTCGATTCCCGCCTACCCCGGAGGTGACCACGTGGCGTGGCAGACCTCTCCTGGCCCGCCAGCTGCTCCCCTCAGCAGTGCACTTCATAGATCTGTCTGTTCTGCTCCCCACTCTGTCTCTGGTGAAGCCTCTCGCTGCCCCTGAGCCTCTGGCCTGTACCCCAGTTCTGTATGCACAAATAAATCTT